GACAGTGTTTCATAGCAAGTACCATGTACCAGCATAGACCAAACAATTCCACAAAAGCAGTAGAATAGCCAATATTATTAAGTTCCAACAATAAAAACCTAAGAATGCAATCTCTCCTCTTGTTGCCACAATAAAATAAAAAGATCTATTATATAAAGTCTCAATTAGATGAACATTTAAAATCTCCCCTTTTCAATTTTTATTTAGCTAAGGACCAACTCTGTGCCAAAGTAAAGGTCCCGCTCTGGAGAGTTAGGTCCGAGTTCTTCTTCAGCAGCTGAAGTCCGGGCTCTCTGTCACAGGAACGGTGGAAACACCCATTGTCAGCACTTTTACAGTGAACCACTTTCCCAGAATTCCCAGGGGTCAGGAGAACAGAGGAGAACAGCGTAGCACCAGCTCCTTACCTGTAAGATTCAGGGCTATGTGTGAGACCAGCAAGCAATAACATTCCCCAAACAAAAGTGAAGAGTTTGTGCTGCAATTAAATGTCAGATATTGTGGCCAAGGAAGGAGCATTCTCTTAGGGTGTGGGACTATGACTAGGCCCAACTTCATTAGCGGTCAATTAACCATCAATTAGAAAAATTGGAAAGGCACAAATACTCTGACCAGGCAAGTCCATTTCTAGAAGCCTGTTTTAAGAAATCCTTGCACAAATGATGAAAGGTATTTGTAAAAGGATGTTCTCTGAGTTATTTTTTATAAGAATAAGCATTAGACACAATTTTGTGTCCATTAACCAAGGGCCATTTAAATATATACTGATTCATCCATACCATAAAAAGATAAGCACTTGTTTAAAAGGCTGAGGTAAAATATGAAAGTGGTGATGATGATGCCACTGAAAATAATTACAGCAGCTAACGTTTAATGAACATTTATTAGGTGCTTAAATGCTTTATGTGTATTTCTCATCAAATGTGTAAACCAAAAGTAAAATTCTAAGGTCCCCCAATCATCTGAATGGACCCCTCCTCTAGGTCAAGGGTATTCCAAAGTTAACCTGAAAAACTAGTTCAGGCCATGATGGGAAGGAGAGGTTGGACATGCCTCTGTATACCCTCCTTCCTTTTGGAACTCAGGAAAAGCCAACCAGCATTAACATCAACACAGACCCTAAGTCTCATAAGAAACATTTACAATCTATTTTCTCTGAAGCCTGCTACCTGGAGGCTTCATCTGCATGATAAATCCTTGGTCTCCACAACCTCCCTATCTAACCCAGAAATTCCCTTCTGGAATAATAACTCTTTCAACCAATGACTAATCAGAAAAATTTTAAATCTGCCTATGACCTGGAAGCCCCCCACCCTTTGAGTTGTCCCACCCTTCCAGATTGAAGCAGTATAAATCTTACATGTATTAATCAATGTATTCTGTCTCCCTAAAATGAATAAAAGCAAGCTGTACCCAACCACCTTGGGCACATGTTGCCAGGACCTCCTGAAGCTGTCACTGGTGTCTCCTTAACCTTGCAAAGTAAACTTTCTAAATTTATTGAGACCTGTCTCACATACTTTTGGATTCACAAATGTTAGATTAATCCATGAGGGAAGCATTATTTATTTATTTATTTATTTATTTATTTATTTATTATTTGAGATGGAGTCTGCTCTGTCTCCAGGCTGGAGTGCAGTGGTGCAATCTTGGCTCACTGCAACCTCTGCCTCCCGGGTTCAAGCGATTCTCCTGCCTCAGCCTCTCGAATAGCTGGGATTACAGGCACCCACCACCACACCCCACTCATTTCTGTATTTTTAATAGAGTTGGGGTTTCACCATGTTGGCCAAGCTGGTCTCAAACTCCTAACCTCAGGTGATCTGCCTGCCTTATCCTCCCAAAGTGCTGCGATTACAGGCATGAGTCACCACGCCCAGCCAGGGGAAGCACTGCATTTTTTTTTCTCTTTTATAAACGAATAAGTTGAGGTACAGAAAATTCAGTAATGTTTTAAAAGTCACGTCGTGAACGAATCAAGATTTCAACCCAGAAATTGAGGCTTCACCACCAGTGAAGATTGGGGTTTTCTTGAAAGTTTTCAATTATTGGGAGTTTTGGATTTCCAGGAATGTGCAATTGTAAAAACCCAGCTTCAGGAAGTGATGAAATAGGTGCAGTGGATATGGGGTAAGCTCTGAAGCCCCAGGCTCAGGCTCTATTGAAAAATTACTTTTGCTGAAATATTCCAGTTTTTAGGTCCTTCCATGGAACTTAAGCCTTTGCACAGCATATTTTGGCATCTGATTTAAAGCTAGTAGAGGTCCGGAGGATTCCCAGGATTAAAGTCTTTAAACAGAAAGCGTGAATCTTACCTAAGTAAAAGCTGCCTGTTCCTGGGTGGGCTTGAACCATCAACCTTTCAATTAACAGCCAAATGTGCTAACCGATTGCACCACAGAAACTCTAATGGGTTGTGTCTTAAACTCATTTGCTGATACCAGAAATGGCTTTTTAACCTCTGGCTGCAGATAATCTCATATGTTTGTGGCCTGTCCAATCCCGCGCACTCCAGAAACCCAGAACGCGGGAGACAATGAAGCCAAGAGTCGAGTCTTTGGGCACGTTTGGACATTCTACCCGGCCAGAGTCAGCTGGGGGACTCCAGCGGCCAAACGGTCGCCTGCTCCTCACCGTCTGCTCGTCACTGCTTCCCCCGCCTGCTCTTCACCGTCTCAAAAGTCGCCGGCCCCTCCACAGGCGACAACTGCAGCCTCTCCGGCGGAAGTCACTCGCTTTCCCATTCTTAGCCCCGCTTCACACCTTGCGCTCACAGTCATTTCCTCCCGGCCTGGGCCAGTGGACGCGCGCGTGGGAAGAACCAGAACCCGTGATGTCCTCACCACGCCGCCATTGGGCCTTCCTAGGTGGAATCCACCACCCAGGGACCTGGAGTTTGCACAGGCTGCAGCCCACAGCCCAGAGCCCGCCTAGCACCTAGTAGGCGCCCAGTAAATGCTCGGTGAAGGAAGGCATTCCACAGCAGGGGTTTAGGAGAACCATGAATTCCTGTGTGAACATTAAGCGTTTAGTCCTACTAGGAAGTCTGGAATATGGAGACCTGAACTGTTTCTCAAAGGCAGCTGTTCTTGTATTCCCAGAGCTGGTTTAGAATTCAGCAAAGGTCCCTGCTCTGTGGATCCCACCTCTGGAGACCAGAGGATGGTGCGGTGCGGGGCACTGCGGGTTATTATCCTTCCCACGCTCACGTCCACCGGCCCAGGCCCAAAGGAAATGGCTGTGAGGGCAAGATGTGAAGATAGTTACAAATACCAGCTAGGGCCAGCGACAGTTGCAGAAATGAGGACTTGTAATAGTTATGAGTATTTCTTCATTATTTTGAGATGAATACAATACTTTTTTTGAGAATTCTCCTCTTCCATCATCCTAGCTAGGGTATTCATTAATAGTTAACTTTTAGAAATCTCAATATTTAGATTACAGGATAGCACATATGGAATGTGATCTATCTAAAAAAGGAGTGAACATCATTCAAAGACAAATAAAGGACTTCATCCTGTTGGGGAAAGGGTTGGCATATTTTCACTGAATGAGAAAAAGTATGATTTTCCTATTGTCTTTATATGAACCTTAAGTATGGTTTTACAAGGAGGAAAAAAGAGGAGGAAGAAGAGAAAGAAGAGGAAGAGGAGGAAAAAAGGAGGAGGAAGGTGTACATTGATGCCACCTTGAGAAGAAGTGAACTGTGGTGGAATTGTAATGTATCAATTTTGCTAACCTTAATGCACGTTTCCCAGATTTGCCATCTTTAGATAGCTCTGGGTTAGCCTGGGCCACAGGAGACATTTGGAAGATAGAATTCAAGTGGCTGTTATACGCTTTTGTGTACTGGGAAGGGCGTTGTTACAGCTCAGGCATGATCTTCAGCTTCCCTGACTCTTGGACTGGTGGGTGTTTTGCTTCTTGATCTAACATTAAGGTTAGAAATTGCAGGATTCCAGCTGGGTTTTGTTACATCCAATCTGGTTTAAGTTCCCATATTATTAGGAAAGCCTTAGGGAGCTTCAGGAAAACAGTTTTTAAAAAATCAAATTTGGAAAATATCAAATGGAATTATAGGCAATAAGCATAACCCAGTGGAACCATGAATCAAACTCTCTAAAGCAGGGTTGTCTAAATTTTGGCTTCCTTGGGCCACACTAGGAAAAACAAAAACAAAAAACAAAAGAACACTAACTGCAATTGAACTGTGCCTGTAAAGCTTGTAAACAAAATGTGTCTGTAAAGCCTGCAAACAGGCCGGGCGCGGTGGCTCAGGCCTGTAATCCCAACATTTGGGAGGCCCAGGCACGTGGATAACTTGAGGTCAGGAGTTCAAGACCAGCCTGGCCAATATGGTAAAACCCTGTCTCTACTAAAAATTCAAAATATAAGCCGGGCCTAATTTTTTGGTGGCCTGCGCCTGTAATCTCAGTTACTCGGAAGGATAAGTATTCTCTGACTGAGGCAGGAGAATAGCTTGAACGCAGGAGGAAGAGATTGCAGTAAGCCGGGTCCCGCCACGCATTCCGGTGGACTGCTGTTAAATATTTACAATTCGCTCCCATAGGGAAAAGCAAAGCTTAGTTTTATTTCTATAGAACAAAAAGCTTAGTTCAGACGGATCCACCATATTTGCCCGCGCTGACAGACTGTTGGGATTACAAGCGTGAGAAACACTGCCGGGTAATATCTTTAGTTTTCGTGTTACAGACGGGAACAAAAATCTGTTTGCTAGCTCATTACCTACGCTTCCACAACAAAGAAAAAAATCTACCCTTAAAACAACAATTCAGGGGAAAGCGCGAACGCAGTCCCCCACTACCACAAATTATGCAGTCGAGTTTCCCACATTTGGGGAAATCGCAGGGGTCAGCACATCCGGAGTGCAATGGATAAGCCTCGCCCTGGGAAAACCACCTTCGTGATCATGGTATCTCCCCTGCCAGGTAAGTATGAGCTCAGACACCTCCGCCCCGCCACAGCCTCATACGCCTCACCCTTTACACACACGGTCACTTGCCCCGCGCACTCCCGAGTCCTTCTTGCCCTGACAGACAACTGGGACTCTCAGTTCCGACCAGCGGTCCTGAACCTGCCTCCATGGCACGGGAACACTCCTTCGTGGCGAAGCAGCAGGTGGGGAAGCAGGAGCCCCTGCGCTCCCTTATCTACATAGAAGTCGCCCTCTCCGTGATGTCACCGACAGTGCCTTTCCCAGTCCCCGTCTGCCTTTCTGCCACTCAGCGGACCAACCCGCTGCCGGAGCCCACAAGGGGAAGTGACGTCTGCCTCTCCCTTTTTCCCTCCCGCCCCCGCATCTGTTCTCTTCCAAAGAAGCTGGTCGTTAGCCTGTGTTGAGTAGCAAGCTTTCGGCGGCCAGATGGAGCCTGGGAACCCTACTTCAAATACTGGCTTTTAATTCGCAGACTAGAACGTTTAGGATTACAAAAGAAACCGGTTCTCTTCACATCCTTATCTTTGGGATGTAGCATTCTGCTTGAAATTGGAAGCCGCTTAATATCAGAAAGAAACCATATTTATGAAAGTAAAGAGGCTGCTCAGATGACTGCAAACCAGCCTTCCTTACTGATTTTATCACTGGTAATGTTATAAAGACAGTTGTCCAGTTTCATGAATCTTGTAGTTGTTTTTTTTTTTTTTCAGTATTGTAGCAAAATATGAAATTCACTTCATAACATCAAAACCAAAAACCCACACTGATGGCAAAAAAAAAAAAAAAAAAAAATGCAAAAATGAGAGAGAGACCTGTCCTATAGCCATACTTAGTGGGTAAAAGCTAAATTAGAGTTCAATTTCTGCTCATGATACTTAATAGAACATAGGGAACATGAGCCAATAGCTCAGTGGGTTCAGATCTGCACCAAGTACCTGTTGGATGCAGGATTCTACTGTCTCCAATAATATGTCTCAGATGGACTAATTTTTTATTTTATTTATTTATTTTTTTTGAGACAGAGTCTCGCTCTGTCTCCCAGGCTGGGATGTAATGGCGCGATCTCGGCTCATTGCAACCTCCGCCTCGCGGGTTCACACACACCACCACGCCCGGCTTTTTTTTGTTTGTTTTTTTAGTAGAGACGGAGTTTCGCCATGTTGGTCAGGCTGGTCTCGAACTCCTGACCTCAGTTGATCAGAAGTAGGTGAGGTCAGAAAACACCCTGGGAGAGGCTGGCACAATGCCCAGAACCACCATCGCTAGGCCTGGGGTTTTCTTCTGTAGTGGATACTAGTATTCATGTGGTGCAGGGACAAAACCAATTAGATACTTCTGGGAGTTAAAAAGAGATGAATTTACAGTGCCATTTGAGAAGGGGTATTAAGGAATTTGCCAGGGTACTGACGCGTGTCAGGTGCAAGCCGCAGGTTGAGAGAGAGCTAAGTATTTTCTGTCCATGAAGGTGATCAGCCGGGGCCTGAAGAAAGAGGGAAGGGGGAGGACGCTGGCGCCAGAAATGGGAAAGGGCTGCTTGGGGGCGGGAAGGATGGGTGGGATGCTATCTAGAAAGTTGCCTGGCAATGGATGTAGGATGTGGAAGCGAGACATCAAACAAGAAGCTGTCACTTGAATAAAGTCTGAAGAAAGATCAGATATGTAAACGGCAGGAAATAGTAGGGAAACTGGACCCGGCTCCTCGTAAAACTTCCTGCCTTACATTTCAGGGAGGATCGCAGCGCATTTCGGCCAAGACATGTGAGACTGCGGTTCTGACCTGCGGGCCTCAATGAATATGCACTAGGGACCTGGGCGCTGGGAGAGCCGTTCCCCTACACAAAGTAAGCGTGTTATATATACAACCTAGCGGGGACACTAAGAGCTCCAAAGGCCCTGTTTTCTTCCCAGAGAACAGCGCCCGTGTGCGTAGTTTGTACCTGGCTCTATGAAGTGAGAACGCATTCCCCCCTAGCACAGAAAGCCTACAAACTACTGTGGGGGCTGCAGTTAGAAGCAGAAGCTGTATAAAAGGTGACTGGGGGCTAGGGAACCACACGAAGATTTTTACAGACCGTGAGAACCCAAGACACTGGAGACCATGGACCAATCTCTGCAGAAGGCAGCCCCGCATAGAAAGGGAAAAGCTGTGCGGCCTTCACGGTAGTTACCTTACGTTGCAAGGGCTGACGCTTCTTATTTCTCTTCTGACAGAGAATCGATGTTACTTACCATACTCCAGCCTTCCACGGTAAGAACAACATTTACACGCCACACAACACACAAACCTCAGTACACAACCTATTCTTTTGACAACAAATTTCAGGGGAAAGCGCGAACGCAGTCCCCCACTATCACAAATTATGCAGTCGAGTTTCCCACATTTGGGGAAATCGCAGGGGTCAGCACATCCGGAGTGCAATGGATAAGCCTCGCCCTGGGAAAACCACCTTCGTGATCATGGTATCTCCCCTGCCAGGTAAGTATGAGCTCTGGCATCTCCGTCCCGCCACAGCCTCATAGTCTCCTCTTTTAGACGCACGGTCACTTGCCCCGCGCACTCCCGAGTCCTTCTGGCCTTGACAGACAACTAGGACTCTCAGGTCAGACCAGCGGTCCTGAACCCGCTCCCACAGCACGGGAACTCCTTCGTGGCGAAGCAGCAGGTGGGGAAGCAGCAGCCCTTGCGCTGCCTCATCTACATAGAAATTGCCCTCTCGGTGATGTCACCGACAGCGCCTTCCCGTCCCCGTCTGCTCTTCCGCTTCACCCTCCGCCACTCAGCGGACCAACCCGCTGCCGGAGCCGGGGGAGGTGACTTATGCCTCTTGCTTCTTTTTCTCCTGTCCCCGCCCCTCGTCTCCCCAAAGAAGCGGGTGCTTAATCTGTGTCCTGTGGAGGTCCCCTTTGGCGGCCAGCTGGAAGCCCGTGCACCCTTCTTCAAATAATAGCTTTCAATGAGCAGACTAGAACGTTTAGGATTACAAAGGAAACGAATTCCTTTCAAACCTGGTTATCTTTGCGATGTGGCACTGTGTGCATATCTTCGTTAAAACGCATCAAAGGCCACTGCGCTCCACCCTGGGCGACAAGAGGTGACTGAGTATCAAAAAAACAAAAACATTTCCCCCTCGCCCCCAAAGCATTAGACGTAAAGGCTGGCAGCGATGTCTGTTCTCTTGAAAGTTCAACATTAAAATACTTGGAAATTAAACTAAAATAGTAGAAGCAAGAACAAAAATTAAGTTGAAGATAATGTCAAGAATATTTCCCAAGAACCAAAATAAGAATGTAAAAACAGGAGAGAAAAGTTCGGGAAGGTAAATGTCCAAGGTCCAAACGCGATTAGCATGCATTTCAGAAAGAGGATAGAAAAAATCAGTACAATTCAAAACATTTTCCATACCAATAGGTTGAAACTACAGTGAATTTAAACTATTGAATAACGATATTGAACTTTCAAGAGAACAGACATTCCCGCCAGCCTTGACGTCTAATGCTTTTGGGAGGAGGGAAGACTGTTTTTGTTTTTTTGAGACACAGTCACCTCTTGTCTCCAGAGTGGAGTGCAGTGGCCTTTAACGCGTTTTAAACAAGATGTGCACACGGTGCCACACCGCAAAGATAACCAGGTTTGAAAGGAATCTGTTTCCTTTGTAATCCTAAACATTCTAGTCTGCTCATTGAAAGCCATTATTTGAAGAAGGGTGCACGGGCTTCCAGTTGGCTGCCAAAGGGGACCTCCACAGGACACAGTATCCGCTTCTTTGCAGGAGACAGGGGGCGGGGACAGGAGGGAAAGAAGTACCCGCTTTGTAGGAGTACACAGAAGTACCCGCTTCTTTGCAGGAGACAAGGGGCGGGGACAAGGGGCGGGGACAGGAGGGAAAGAAGGGAGAGGCATAAGTCACTTCCCCCGACTCCTACAGCGGGTTGGTCCGCTGAGTGCTCCTGTCTTGTAAGCAGTTCCTGTTTCGTATTTTCACTGTCTCTGACACTATTAACTGTACAATTTTTTTCTTCTGTACACAAAAAAAGTTTGTTTCAATAGTGTTATGGGTCGGGCGTGGTGGCTCACGCCTGTAATCCCAGCACTTTGGGAGGCCAAGGTGGGTGGATAACCTGAGGTTAAGAGTTCAAGACCAGCCTGGCCAACATGGTGAAACCCTGTCTCTACTAAAAATACAAAAATTGGGCGGGCATGGTGGTGGGCGCCTGTAATCCCAGCTACTTAGGAGGCTGAAGCAAGAGAATTGCTTGAACGCAGGAGGCGGTGGTTGCAGTGAGCCAAGATGGCGCCACTGCACTACAATCTAGGCTACAGAGTCAGACTCCATCTAAAAAAAAAAAAAAGTGAAGTATGTATCTTCTACAGTATACTCTTCCAACTTATCAGATTCTATCATTGACATAAGATGCTGCATCCTTACTTGTGTAAGGGGTTTAACACTACTACTATATATAATATATATGTAATATATATTATATATATATAACACTACGGTTTATTAAAACAGCTATCAGTAAACAGATGCCCCTGATGTTCCAACAAAATAACCTACTATTATTAGAAACCAAATAAGCTCCTCCTCCTATGAGGAAGAAAGTAAACAACTTCTGGCTTGGCACGGTGGTTCACGCCTATATTCCCAGCACTTTGGGAGGCTGAAGCGGGTGGATCATTGAGGTCAGGAGTTCAAGACCAGTCTGGCCAACATGATGAAACCTCATCTCTATTAAAAATACAAAAATTACAGCGCGCCTGTAATCCCAGCTACGGGAGGCTGAGGCAGGAGAATCGCTTCAACCTGGGGGCACAGAGGTTGCAGTGAGCCGGTATCACTCCACTGCACTCCAGCCTGGGCAACAGAGTGAAACTCTGTCTAAACAAAAAAAAAAAAAAAACAAACAAAAAAACGTAAACAACTTCTGGAACAGTTTGAAAAAGCAATTTAAGTGAAAATGAAACCAAAAAGGGTAAAAAGAAAAAAGAGCGAATTGTAGGCCGGGCACAGTGACTCACGCCTGTAATCCCACCACTTTGGGAAGCCGACGCGGAGGAATCACGAGGTCAGGAGATCGAAACTATCCTGGCTAGCACGGAGAAACCCTGTCTCTAGTAGAAATGAAAAAAAAAAAAAAAAAATTAGCCGGGCGTGGTGGTGGCGCCTGTAGTCCCAGCTACTCGGGAGGCTGAGGCAGGAGAATGGCTTGAACCTGGGAGGCGGAGCTTGCAGTGAGCCGAGATTGCGCCACTGCACTCCAGCCTGGGCTACAGAGCAAGACTCCATCTCAAAAAAACCAAAGA